AATGAATTTAATAAGTCTGAAGCAATCATGATCTAACAAAAACCTAAATCCCAAGATGCCTTAATTCCCATTAATATGGCCCATAATTTTGTGCTCAGACTATTAATTTCAATCAAGCTCAACATAAACCCTGGGATAAAGTTCCCGTGATGATCTCACATTACTCCCCCACAACCTCCCTTATTACTTATAGGCATGAAAAGCCATCCATATTAGCAAGGGTCTACCTTTCTGGAAGAGCTTCCCAAGCACATATGTGATTGTTGATCATACCAATTGACTTTAGCCACTCGTGAAATGACCTCACTCATACTTGACTAGATAGTTGCTGCTTGTACAACCACACCTTCATTGAAAGTCTGCTTCCCTTTAAACATACGCACATTCCTTCTTTTCCATGAAAGCCAGTATATGATTATGAAAAGAGTGGTCAATCCTCACAAGCAGTATTTGCACTTACTTTGAAATTCCAAAGTAACCATTACTTTAGATCCATAGAGAAAAATACCAATCTCTTGTTAGGTTATACAATAGTCCTCTAAAGCTCCATTGTGTCAAGACAATCATGAAGGACATGTAACAAATCTTCAGTGTTTGACTTACACTAGAAGCATATCACATTAGTAGTCATCCTTCTCCTATGCCTTTCCATATTCATTGCTAGTTTATTATGCCAAGTAAGCCAAGCAAATGTCCTGCATCTCTATGGTACTCAAGCCTTCTAGATTCTATTTTGTTCTGCTTAGGCTTATGAATGGCACTATAAACTAATTTAACAGAAAATTTGCCACCAGTCTTCTACTTCCATCTAACACTGTGTGTTATTAACCTACTCAACTCCCTCCTTTGTCTTATCCCAAACACCTTTAATTCCTTGCCAAACATTAAAAGCAGACCACTTTTGTTGAATGTTAGGAAGTATATCATCCCCACACTTATACTTTGCTCTAATGACACAAACAAAAAATTCATCCTGCTTATTTATTAGATTCCACCCTTGCTTCATCATGTAAGCTAGATTCTGCATTCGAATGTGCCCGAGTCCCAAGCCTTCATGCTTATTACTCTCACATTCATGATCCCATGAGACCCAATAAGTCTTGCAGCTTCCTTTCGTATTTTCCCATATAAAATTCTAATTTAATTTATCAAGTGTCACATGTACTAGCAGGTGGAAAGGATGTCTACATCATATAACTAGGAATGGTAGATGTGACTATAGTTGTTAACGTCACCCTCCCCACCATACATAAGGAAGAAGCTTTCTAATTCGAAAGACATTTACGAACTTTATCTACTAATCATTGAAGGACTTCTTGTTTATCCCCTTACTATGAAGTGGAACTCCCAAGTATTTGCCCAAGTCATTCTTTCTTGTAAACCCCAAATACAAACTAAACTCCTCTCAATGACAGTGGTTCACATTATCAAAGAAGTACATTTTGTCTCATAAAAGTTCACCCTCATGCCAGAACTCTTACAAAACACATCTAAACATTGTTTAATAACAGTTGCTGGGTTAGAGAGGCCTCGGCAAAGAGCAATATGTCATCCGCAAAGAATAATAGATCGCATGGAACGTATCACCTCCTGTGCCTCTGTAATGTTACGTGAGCTATGCTGTCTTCAGACAGAAAAGTATTACTTATTGCCAGGCTTTACCTATTCTTTTCAAACATGTAACAAAAAGCTTTCTTTTTTTGAATCCTCCTTGTCATCTTCTTCATCAACTGTGCATTTTCTTAAATTCTTCTTATTAATTGATTTCCTAAAAAAACTACACCCTTGCTCTGATTGTTGATTTTTAGAAGATTTCGGATGGTTAATAGAATTTGTCATGCATGAAAATTAAGTACACAGCTTCAACTACCACTTGGAATGGCAAGAATATTGTAGTGATTAGATCAATCTTCCAAAAACGACAATGAAAATCCGCAGAACATAAACCAATAACAGCAAACACCGACAAAGAAGGGTACGTAGTCAGACATAGTTTTATGACAAATTTACAAAGCAAAGAGAGAAACTAGAATGCTAGCATCGAATCTTCCCATGTGTACAGAAGCACCCCCGTCAATTGCTATGGTAACATGAGAGAAGTTGAGAGAGAAAGACTCGGAGACTGGAACAGTGTTGTATTCAACTAATGTGAAAAGCTTACAATACATTGATGAAGCTAATAATAACTAATAAATATTTTAATAATATTTAATGAATATAAAACATTCTCCAAATCTTAATAGAATATTTCTCTAGTACAAAATATGAGTTTTTTTCTCAGCTAATCTTAGTTTAAAATATAAAGTCTACGTAAAAAAAATTATTTTTTCCTTATATTTATTAACCTAAATATTTGTATAAATATATCTCTTACTTATCATAGAGTACATTAATAATTGAGACTAATTAAAAGGAAAAACAACACACACATATTTTTATAAGAATTAAGACTTTATTGGTATGTGAATTTTTTTCAAAAAGTACTTATAATTTGGACAAGAAGTAAATCTTAATGGATAATATATATTAACCGAATAAATCTGTGTATCAACATTATTTTATAAGTTAGGGAGCAAATAACTTTTTTGTTCTGTTTATAAGTCATGTAATTAAATTTTTATCATAATGTTTTTAACTCTTCATTAAATATTAGTGACAGGAAATATATATTGTTTAGTGATGTATATTTAATAAAAAATAGGGATAAAGTTAGAAATTTATTAATTGTTCTAGAACAAGTGAAAAATGTTGAAATAAAAATTCTTATAAATAAAACAGTAAAATATACACGCTGTTGTATTACGAGAGACTTGCGTGGCGAGCGAATGCTGCTTACCGATTATCGACGATGAGTAAATGCTCCTTACTGACCAGCTAGGTCTTTGCTTCCGTCGTCGCCTCAATGGACTGTGTGGGTGTGTAATGCGTGTGTGTGTGTGTGTGTCTCCATTTCTACAAAAACAAAAATATTTTTTATCTACTTTTAATAAATTCAAATAATAATAATAATAATAATAATAATAATAATAATAATAATAAAAAAGTATTCTTGAACTTCAGTCACAATCAAATCCTTCCTTCCAGGTTCTAGCGAGTATATTCGATGGCCCCAAGAACACCATAAGTATATTCCCTTTCAGATAACCGATGAAGTTATGCCGGAAGCAGTGGCAGAGTGAGGGGGATCAGCAATAGCTGTGACTCTCCTAATTTTTTAAAATTTTCTTTGTGTTATATAGATATCACATACTTTCAATTTTTTAAAATTTATGAAAATTTTATAATACATATATTTTTTAATTTTGATCTCTTTTATTTTTAAATTTTGACTTCGTCCTTGACCGGAAGGGGGGAAAAATGTTATATTCTCTAAGTTAACCCACCCTTTCGAAATCATTTTGAATATAATTATATGGATTTTTGTAGTTATTTAAAAAAAAACGAAATATATCTGAAGGTCCGGAACAGGCCACAGACGTGTGGGGATAGGGATAGCCAGGAATCGGAACTTGGGGTGTTTATTATTAATGAAGTCATTGGTGGGCGATCAATTATGAGAGGCAGCCCACAGGTTTTAGGGATGAGAGCACAAAAATGAAACCTTGTACTATGATTAACAATTATTAAAAAAAACAAGGTAATTTGGAGGCCGAGGACGGGTCACAGAGAAAGATTAAATACCAGGAATTGAGATGAACCCCAATTATTCAAAGCGGAATAATAGGACATGGTCACGCATGTGGGCAACTACAAGGCAAACAAGAATTCGGAGCAGAGAGGAAAGAAACAAAAAATAAATAAAGGAAAGACATAAGTAGGACGAATACAACTACAGTCTACAGTACAATACAAATGAAGAGTAAAGTGTGGTTATGTGGCGTCATTCTCAGGGCATTGAGGAACTGAGGAAAAAAGCATACGGAACCATCGCAACCACACAAACAACAAAGCAAGCCATACATTCGTCCTCGTCTTTACGTTCCCTGACAATTCTCCACCACAAGAACCAGTCTGCGCACCACCATACCACCCTGCCTTTAATTTTCCCCTTTACTACTTATTCTAAGACTTTCCACCCAATTCTCTTTCGTTTTCACTTCCCCATTTGCTTTGATCTTGATTTTTCTCGTGTGTGTATATGAAAACTACCCATTTTAAAACATGGTCACGCTCACGCTCGCCCCTTGTTCAATAACTCAACATACTAGTTTGTCATTGTCTATATTTAAAATCGGTTAAAGTTGATAATATTGGGATTTTATTTTATCATATAACTCATCTCGTGATCAATTTTATTCATTTAAGATGTTTGCTCAATGTTTTCTTTAAAAACTCCAGATGCAAAAAAGAATTTTCCTTCAAAAAAAAAACAGCGAAAATGTAAAGATTTGAGCTTCTTCATGAAGCCTTTGATGCAATTTGCCAATCTCCTTGCTGGTCGACCCAAGAAGCCTCTCCTAAGTCGTTAACTAACTATCGCATCTACTTCAAGCTAAAGACAGTCAATATTATGATATTTGGGAGCACCATTTAGCCATTGTTTTGGGCTAGTCTACTGTGGAACACACAAATAGCAAAGCAGATGGTGGCCATTCTCCATATTCTTGGGTCCCTCCTCCCTCGTTTAATGGCATTGTTGGTGGTAATTTTTAAAGCTGAATTTGTCCCCAACTTCAACAGTACGCAGGGCCCACTCATGATTTATCCTAAGGAGAAGTGATATAAAGATCTCGCACAGATGAAGGTATCCATATCTTTATGTAGATCAATCCGTACTCTATTATAAAATTAATCAATCAGAAGTGCAGGAAGCTCCCATAGCCACATGTTTGCTAGCAGATCCCGTCAAGTATTAAAAAAAATTACAAATATCTTTTGGAAACACAGCCCTTTAATTAATCGTTGCACTTATCCACAGCATGTTGGATAATGGATACTAAACGGTAGTTCGCCAAAAAATTACGAAAATCTGGTAATTCCGTAACTGTAGTCCGAAAAAATATCTGGTAAATGTCACTGTCAACGTCACAACGACAAATTTTATTTTCAAAAGCATGAAATAAGAAGTCTGATCAACAATAGTACAATTAATAAGTTAATCAAGGACCAATTATCAAAAACTCATAAAATAATATCCAATAGTACGAGTTCCATTAGGCTCGCCTCTCCGGAACAAACCCCTCCTGGATCAACCTTAACTGTTTCGGCCGATAATCTCTACAGCGATCAGTACGTAGACGCCGAATGCGACGCCGACACACCTTCTCGTGCTTCACAGCGGCGCCCGTCATGGTCACCACCAACCTCTTCTTCGGGAACTCGGTCTTCTTACCCGCCATCAGTTGGATCCTGATCGTTCAGACCAAAGTCATTGTTTACAGAAGCCAAAACAATCAATTTCAAAACTCAAAGGTGAAGATAAATCTAGAAATATAACGGAATCAAAAGCTTGAGTAAAAACAAAAGAGAAAATGAGAAGAACCTGGAAATTATGATCGGACGCATTTTCACTCCTTCGTTTCAAGGAAACTGTTCTTCTTGATTCGCAGACATTTCTATTGTCGTTACTAGACTCATCGCTGCTCGAAGAACTTGCAGGCGGTGGGGACGTCGTGGAGGACCAACGGACTATTTGTTGATCTGCATCCTCATCACCTCCCACCTCATCGCCATCGGCGTCGTCGTTTCCGTCAAACATGGCATCGTCGTCATCGTCTTCTGTGTTTATTTCAGTGTCATTGCCGCCTTCGCTTTCCTCGCCGTCCTCGCCACTCAAGTTCATTCCACTGTCACAGTTCCGGCAAACAGAAACGGTGTTTCCGAGAACAGAACCGGAGGCTTTCCATGGCGTTGGAGACTGGCACGCATGGCATAGAAGGATCCTGGAGTGCCTGGCTACCAAGAAATTAGCTCCGTGAACCTTGGCATCGCAATCCCAACATAAACTAGCCTGGTCAGATTCACAGTAGATCCTCGCCGGAGTCCTGCACAGCTCACATTTCTTCATCTTCTAGTCGTGTCAAAACTGGACCGGGCTTCTGTTATTCTATTTTTGCGCGATCTCTTATCTAAACCTCGCTTCTTTTTTATACCAACATTCAAAAGAAGGGGAAAAAAAAAAGAGGCGATTTTCCGTGAAACCCCGGAATTGACCCCAACTTTATAGCAGCGGCAATAGTTGCTACTCCTATCAATTGTTAAGATTATTGCATCATATAAAAAATTTAAATATATAATAAAATATTTAAATCTTCTAAAATTCAGATCTGTAGATTTATGCAAATTATGCCTTTTTAAGAATAAAAAGAATTATTTTATATGAAATAATAAATAAGAAAGAACACTTTAAAAAAGAAAACTTACAAAAAATTACACCAAACTTATTAGTGAACATACGTGTATACTTCCTTCAGTTTTTGGGATTAGATTCAATGAATTTTTGGGATAGATATGTACGAATTGAGTGCTAATTAACTCAGAAAAATTAATCACTTGATGTAGATGCTGAAAGATATTTGAATTTCAAAAACTCTTATATAAATGGACTCGGTTACCCGCTCCACCGTCCCTCCCTTGTCACTGCATTTGGAGAAGTTCGGGGTGGTCTAGATGTTTTAATTTCTATTTTTATTTTATATTCATTAAAATGCAAATTTATCAAATTCATAAAAATTTAACTAGTATGATCACTATGCAGTCAATATTTAATATAAATTATTTAAATTAAATGTTAAAATTTTTATAAATTAATTATTCAAATATATTCTAAACAGTGCAGATTTAAAAATCTTTAACCTGTAATTTTAAAAAATATTTTTTGAAAATTTCACTTTAGAGGATTATATTTATTTAAAATATTGTATTTCTAAAATAAAAATTTATCATAATTATAAAATAATTTAATATTGAATAAATACTATCTAAATTATATTTGAATTATCAATTTATAAAAAAATAAAAATCTATAATATTAAATTTGAATCATCAATATTAAATATATACTATCAATATTGGTGATCAAATATATTAATTTTTTATAATTTTTATAAAATTTTGTTTTAAAATTATAAAATTAAAACATTAAATTTGAACCATCTGGTTTAAATATAAATGGTCCAAACCTTCTCCAAAGTGCAGCAGAGGGCAGCAGAGGGATCGTGGAGTGGTGTCCTATATCTGAACAAGCACTACTCTCTTATTCCCATTACAAAACGCCTATAATCATCTAATTGAAATTAGAAATGTGATTAAATTATTAATTTATTTGAAAATAAAATATTTTTTATTTGACCCATTTTTAAATGATTTTTTTATATTTACATTACATTTTTATAATTAATAATTTAAATAAAAATAATACCAAATAAAGTTAATTAATATCTCATTAAATAACTTGTAAGTTGTAATAAAGAGCCTTCATCTTTTTGAAAAGGTATTTCATAATAAAGCTATAAGAGAATAATAACTACAAATTGACACACAAATAGCCTCTTCATTCAATAGTATGAAATACTTGTTTTAATTGAATTTACTTTCTAATTAATCATTCAATTGTTTTTAAAAATACATAATCTTTTCATGTTTATCTTTATTTAATAAAAATTTTTAATTAAAAATTTTTATTAATTATATCCATTGAAGTAGAGATTAAAAAAATTTATTAATTATATTTAAAAGGCTAAAAATATATTATATTTTTTAATATAATACTCCCTCCATTCAAAAATATAAGACATTTTTATTTTTTTAAGATGTAATCATTATCTTTTTAAAAAAATACCTCTATTAATGAATGACTTTATATTTATTGTAAAATATTTAATAGTAATAAATATAAAGATAATAGGTAACTAATTTATTAAGAATAAAATTTAATTAATAATATTTTATATTTTTAAATGAAAGAATAATGTTTTTAAAAAAAATGTCTTATGATCTTGTGAGGTTTAGATGAACAGAAAATGAAGTAGAGTGAGATTGCATGTTTAAAACAAGCTATACAAACTTGTAGCCTGTGGGTTATTCTGCCCCATATTCAACAGGCAAATTGCAAACTCCAATTGGCATATCAAAAGGGGAAAAAATTGTTTAAAATAATATTCTAATTCACTTTTTACAATATCAGTCTTTAATTATGATCGTAATAATTTAAAATAATTGTTTAAGGAAATAATTTTTGAATGTATTTTATACGTGAACAGCTTCGATTTTTTTTTTTGTTTCCTTAATAAAATAATAAATCAATTAACAATAATGATTATTTACATGGAGAAAGATTCAGAAAGACTCATTTTGTTTATTGATTTTGCTTTCATAAAAGCCTATAAAAATGAATTACATTATTTAGGATTTCGGAATAGCATTTTGTATACATTTTATATATGTTATAATGTGTGTGTCCGTGGGGGGGGGGGATTATGCTGATGATTATTTTTAAATATTTAAAATTATTACTGTGTGGGTGAAAAAGGGCAATGTGGAGAGGAAAAGAAAGGGGGGGTTATAATTGCGATTTGACCAGGGGGGTACGGGGGGTAAGGCAGCGCGATGGGAGAGAACCGTAACGAGGAAAAGCAACGGAGCAGTGGTTTTGTGGTGGGCGGTGTGCCACGTGTGTGCTCCTCATCCTAACCTCATGCTTTCTGTGGTCTATGTATGCTCTTGCCATGGCCTGGGATATTTCTGCCGCCTACGTGGCGTCCTCCGCATTTTCCTCTTCCCCGTTTCCTTACGTGTTCACTCTGAGATGCTTCCCCTACGCGATTTTCCTCCTCCTCTTTCTCACCCTCTCCCCGCTTCCCTCCATCCCCACTATTTGATTCACACGCTCTCCTCCCGCATCTGGGACTCAGCTTCTTTCGACTGAGTCCTCCCTCCTCCGCCCGGGTAATGACAAGATTTGGACCGTCGAATTCAAAGGTTTTCATTTTTATTCTCATCAAAATAAAATTTATAAAAATGGTAAAATGGTAAAACTTTTCGATGAATTTGTTGATCACCAACTAATCCAGATATTATAAATTTAATTTAAATAGTTTAATTTAATATCTATTTTTTTGTTAATTAGTTATTTAGATATATTCTGAAATAGTATGAATTTAATAGCAAAATTTTTGTAATTTTTATTTTAGTAAATACAGTATTAAAAATAAAGATAATTTTCTAACATGTACTTCTAAACAAATTAAGTTAACAATTTTAAACTTGCACTATTCAATGAATATCTAAATAGTCAACATGTAAAAATTATAAAAAAATTAATATTAAATTAACCTTTCACCTTAAATTTAAACAATTCAAATTGAATTTGTATTGTTGAAATTGTTCATAAATATATTTATTAAAATATTTTATACTTTTTATAAATTTATATTAATAAAAATAAATATTTAAATACTTATATTTAAAATATTTAAATTTAATATGACTGGCTCAAATATTCTCTCATCTCAACAGAGGAGCTGAGGACCAAAGTGGGATGGCTCAATGAAAAAGCTGAGTAGCAGGGTCGGTAATATGGAACTTGCAAAAAAGTACGGGTTGAATTGGAGAAAATGGATTCACTTAAATATAAGGCGGTTTTAACTTGCCTTGTGTAACTTGGACCTGCAAATGGACTAACTAGTTTATTTAAAAAATATATGAAAAAATAAAATTGAGTTTATAATAAAGCATTCAAAGCAAGTAGAATTACAATCTAAGTGCTTAACACTTTTACATTTACTTAATTTAAATTTAAATTATAACAGAAAACAATAAAAATACATTGCACATGTATTTAAATAGTGATATAATATAATTTAAATGTGATCAAGATGAGGTTAAATAAAATATTTTATTATACTCTACTTCATTTATATAATAGCAGCTTTTTTACCAAAATACTATACACAATAAAAGAGATTGTCTAAATGCTATACCATGAAGAGTATTAACCAAAATACTCTATCAAAAATTATTCAAATGAAGAATAAATTTGAACTTCTGAAAAAATCATTCTTGCCTAAAATAATTTTAGAGCCAAATTATTTTTTTATTTCATTGAAAATAAAATCGTTCACTATCTGAACGATTTCAACTTATTATTACTTATGTGATATTTTCTTCCTAATCTCTGCTTTTTGTCTCATTGTGATTGCTTTGTTAAGTCTTTTTTATTTGTCAAGTAACTCCCTAGCTTTTTCTGTTCACACGTGGGATTAAAAAATTTATGTGTGTGTATTTTATTGGCTATATAAAGGATTGAAAATATAAAGAAACCGGCAGCGAGATTGAGACTAGATATTATGAGGCTTCTTCAATATATTCGGAGGTAATAACTGCTCTTTTCATTTTATTTTTGTGTTAGCGAGATTGAATATATTGTTGTTTGTTTTTATTTACCTAATGTTCTAATATTTTATTCATGCACTTATTATCCTTACTTCATTTTCTATGCTCTCTCATTCATACTTTAAAGTTCTTTTTTTTTTTAATTTTATTTCTCTATTCTAGTTAGCAGTGTTAGTATTGTGATCAAAATTTGAAGTGCATTTTCTTTCTTTTATCTGCTTAAAGCCTAACACTTTATCTAATTAAGTTATTTTTTTATTTTTTTTCAAATTTTATATCAAAGTTAATATTTTTTTAGTAAAATCCTAATATTTAATCATTAATATGTTGCACATTAAATTTCTCTTAATTGCAAATGTAGACACGTGGTTAATTTTTTTATAGAACAATCAGGGATAGAATTATTATAAATGTAAAGGGGGTCAAATTTTTAAAATTAATATACAATCTTCTATATTTTTAATATTTATACTAATTAATTGTTTATTTGAGTTTATTGCATTACAAATCTGAGAGAACAAATTACATAAAAATATAAATAATATAAGAAAACCTTGTCAAACAAATAATATAAAAAAATTTAAATCTATCATATTAATCATAATAAATATAAATAGTATAGGAAAAACTTATCAAATAAATAATATAAAAAATTATATATTCAACATATTAAAAAAATTAATTTATCTGAATTCTCAACTTTTTATAACAATTGCTATGTGAAAAAATGTATACATTACAAAAATGGCAGATGCTTA